TAACCATTTCTTTTGCAGTACAGTAGAAGCTTACTTCACTAAGTCATAATGTAAAATTGTACTTAAAACCAGCCTATCATTATCCATGCTAAATATTAAACTGAGAGACCACAGATTGAGAAGAAACTGGATATAGAGTTTTGAAATAAAGTCTAGTGAATTACTACATATTTATTTTTAGGGTAATGTGAAAGCTGCTATAGGGTGGACCCTACTGGAGAGTAAATGAAATTAAATAAGATTATTGGCAAAATATCTTCTCAGAACCCAAATATTATTCAAATAGACTATAGTGGAAGAGATTGCTAGATAATCTGTACACTACAAAAGATGGAGAAAGCATTACAGAGCTCTAAATATAGAATAAATCATAGAAGTTGCTAATGAAAAACTGGATGTTCAGTATCTCTCTTTCTGATGCTATATCAAGGAGAATTATGCTACGAAATCAGTTTTCATTATTAGCCTATGACACCAAGCATACTCAACTACTGAAAGAAACACTTTATTCATAAAAGTATTTCATTTCTGTCCAGTTTCCTCTGTAGTCTATTATTGCGATGTCTAAGTCTAAAAAACTTTCCCCCTTATCCCCAGCTTCTGATAGAGGGGTCAATTCTCTAGTTGTCCAAGAATCGCTTACCACACGTGCAACTAGTCCTGTGGACACAAATCGGTAAAATGTCTCTCTCCACCACTACACTATAGACTTTAGTAGGGCAACAGCCAGCAAGGTCTCCTTTGTTTTACTAGCACCTAACCTAGTGCCTGGCAGGTACTCAATAAATTAATACATAACTAACGTAATTAAGGGAATTACTTCATGAATAATATATGAATAAAAGAATGAGGATGATATTGCAATACAATTGAAAATCCATCAATACCTACTTAGCTTAGTGTCTAAGTAATACATTTCAACAGTATTATAACATGTGTTTAATCACATTACATCAAATGTATTCACCACAAATGCTGTCACTGAATACAGCATCCAAAAATAAAAGTGTGGCATTATCAGTTATGATGATTGGATCATGTAGCAAATAGTTATTTACTGGGTACCTAGTATATTCCTAGCTCTGGGGTGGTCACTATGCACTGGGAAAGATAAGCCATTGAGAAATAGTCCTTTTCTTCATCACACCAGGTCAGTAGTCTGCATTTGTAGGACTGGCAGGTCATTATTACTTACTCTCCACGGAAGGCATCAAGTCAATTCCTGACCATTTCCTGGTTCATTCCAAACCTACAAGTCTGGGTAAAAGAATGCAATGAGCTATCCAACCAACTGGTTTTTGGCCAATGCTGTATCTTAAACGGTTCAATTAGCTTAAAAGAAATCATCTCACCCCACTCCTTTCTCCCATTTCCTGAGTGGTATCTTTTTTCTTTGCCTCTTCTCTTTTCTGTCTCATATCAAGGGAAACCCAGTCAGCCAGAGTGACTTTACAGGCTTTATCACCTCCCACTCCTAACAAGGGCAGGAGGTGAAGAGTGCTGGTAAAGACTGCTGACTGTTGGCTCCTGCTTATGTCTTCTTATTGCTGCCCTAAATGTAAAGCTAAAATGATCCATCCTTTTATTTCAAACACTTCTCACTACCCCTGCTCTTGCATTCTCCTCTAGGATTCACTTTTACTTTCCCAGATGTTTCATCATTTGGCTCACATCCTTTCCTTCTTGCCCTCTATTGCTTTTCTTTGACCGTGTTTTCTATTACAAGAAAGGAAGCACAGACCGGCCACAGTGGTTCCCAACACTTTGGGAGGCCGAGGGGGCGGATCACCTGAGGTCGGGAGTTCAAGACCAGCCTGACCAACATAGCGAAACCCCATCTCTACTAAAAATACAAAATTAGCCAGGTGTGGTGGTGAATGCCTGTAATGCCAGCTACTTGGGAGGTTGAGGCAGGAGAATCGCTTGAACCCAGGAGGTGGAGGTTGTGGTGAGCCGAGATCATGCCACTGCACTCCAGCCTGGGCAACAAGAGTGAAACTCTGTCTCAAAGAAAAAAAAGAAAAAAGAAAAAAGAAAAAGAGAAAGGAAGCATAGTGGTTGAGGGCCAGGATTCTGGAGTCATACTACCATATTTGAAACCTGACTTTACCATTTCCTAACTGTATTAAGACAGCTTAACATCTATAGGCCTTAGTTTCCTCATTTGTAAAGTGGGAATAAAAATAATAGTACAAACATTATAACAATAAGTAAAACCTGCAAAGCACTGAAATAGTTACTGGTATAGAGAAAGTACTTTATAATGCCCTCATTTTTATTATAATCCTTGGCAACATTAGTATCCATATTGTTTCCTGTTGACTTTAAACTTCTGGCCATATTGGCATCCACAAATATCACCACCTTGGATCAGCTCATCACACAGCATTGCTTTATCAAGATTTTGAACCTGGTCTAAGTCCTTCTACTTATCTTCCTCATTCCTGAAGACTCCTAGAACCTTCTCTCTATTCTCTTCCCTTAAATCTCTGATTTTCCAAATGTACTCAAACACTAGCAACTTAGTTTCCCAAGCTTTAACTCTCTCAATTTCCAATGTGAACATTCAACACTTAGTCAGAGTAAACTTAATTTTTGCAATCTTCTTTTACTATATACACTTAAAGCTCTCCTCAATGCCTACAGATCTTATTTGTCCTTTACTAATCAAATGTTCATATCTTCCATGAAGCCTTCCTCATCATTCAAGAATATACATATTCCAGCCCACAACCACCTCACTCTGCCCAAATACAAAAACTCACAAACCACATAGATCTCATATACATTACAGAATTGCATACCTGGGCATTTACTGAGAATCTTTATTTAGATGTTTTATGTGTATATGTTACCTCCCTACCTATATTATAAGCTCCTTGAAAGTAGAAATGCTAGTGGAAACTGACAATATGTCAGGCCTTCTTTGACATACATTACAAGTATCAACTCATTTAATCTCTATAGCAACTCTAAGAAATTGCCACTTTTATCGTCATTTTATCTCAAGGCAGGGAAAAGTAAAGTCAGGGAAAGGCTATCTTTTCTATAACTGTAACTATAAAAGTTATATAATAGTTGCTGAATGAAGAAACTCAGTAACATAGTTCATAATCTTGTTCTAGTTTTATGAATGATTTATCTGCATCAATCTTAAGTTACTCTTTGTAAATATTGCTAAATAAAGGTGCTTCAATTCCATGACTCAAGACTATAGGACCATGCCAACAGCAGGAGTCCAACAAATGCTTTCTAAGAGTACATTTGGAAAGACTTCCTCTATAGTTTTGGATGCCATTCTAATAATAATGATGAGAAAGTATTTGTATTTTACAGTTAGGGTGTTCTTTGTTCTACATATGCACTTTCTGAAGTAACTTCTGTGAATCAAACAGAGCTTATAATAAATCTACTTTTGCATATCATCTCTGCTTTATAAGCACTGCAATTTAAAAATATTTAACCTATGTTTACTAACAATCAGCTACTAACTAGCTGTGTGACCTTTGGAAACTCAGATTTATGCATTTGAGATTTGCTTATCTTTAGAAAGAAGGAGATGGAGTAGGGCAAATTGGCCTTCAGGGGATTCTAAGGGAGTCATTCACTTATAAAATTATACTATCCTTACGAGACTTTACAAATAGAGGAAATCATATTAATATAGAAGGAAATGTTTAAGAAACCATAACCAAAGTCAAATAAAAATGGTAACTCCAATTACTCGTTGGAAAACTGACTTTTCCACATGAAGAACTTCCATCTGTAACTGTAAATAAAGTGCCACTCTCAGTTGCCCTGTTTTCTCAAGTACCACTTCTAACAGTGCCTCAATTAGTTTAAAATGCAATCAAATGCCCTGAAGCTTAATATGCTCAACATCAGTAAAATACATTCATCTTTTCTGGAAAAAAAAATGTTCTAAAATTATACGAAGCAAATATTTGTTATGAAGAACTCTTTCGAAAGCCTTAAAGTGAAATTTCCCCTTCCCTGCTCTTCTGCTTGTCAGGAGAGGGCTCTTGAAACAAACAGAAAACCTCAGAACAGGAAACAAAAGCTAACATTCAGATCTTTGGCTCATTGTCTAGGTGTGATCTCAGCATTCCAGATAGAACCCTAACTCCATTTTACATAGTTATACTTTACATTTATTGCTAATTTTATTGCTAGTATTAAAATATGAAATGATCTTTAAATGCAATTTTATCTTCAAATGTAAAGGTATTTGGCTGCTTAGAGTTTAGGTAGAAAGAAATTAAAAACTATTTTCTTTGAAAGTCAAAGCCTGAAACACACCATGCAAGTCAATATGAAATCACTAAGCATGTAAGTTCAATTAGTTTAAAAATATGAAAGTTTTACTTAAAGCAAAATACTTCTTTAGAAATTATGTTACTGTGATGCCCAAATTTTTTATGTTTTAAACTGTTTAATCTTGTCCTCTTATACACTTACAAAAATATGTTGAACGAAGAATTCAAAAATTTGTTTAGAATTACTATTATGTAAATATTACATGTAGTTAAAAGACTATCATGTAGAAAACTATAACTGCATCATTTATAGGTTGTGATATATTTGTGTATGTATAGACAAATATGTATATACATATGTACATATATAATGTCAACTACCATTTTTTTAATCAAAATTTTAAAGTACTACAGATATAGCATACATTATAGATATATAAAAGTATTAGAACAAAGCTGTTTCCTGAAAGCTAAGTAGTTAAGGAACAGTAGTAGCACTGTCCTCAAGATTTTTATGACTTATGTCTAATATTAAAAGTGTTAAAGACTATGCAATTACAATAACAACCACATTCAATTTTGAGTATCATAAATAAAAACATTGTTAAAATGTCATCACATATTTTAAATTACATGGAAAATAACCACTTCTTAGAAGAAACAAGGAATAATTGAAATCTATACAATAGATGGTCTCCATTTACAATTTAACCAATAATAAAGGATCAGAAGAAAGGAACCTACCTTCCATTGCCCTTTTAAAGAAGACCTTACAGCTCCCACAGGTAAGGACACCATAATGACAGCCTGATGCTTCATCCCCACAGATTAAACAAATCTTCTGAGGTAATGACTCGAAGCTGTATTGTGGGCTCTGGCTGGCTTCTGAATCCGGCCTTGAAATGCAAAACAAATTACTCCGTTTATTTTTAAGTGCACCACTATCTAATACTAAAGGTTTCTTAAACCAGCATTAACAGAGTGAAAGGAGATTTTAAAAAAAGAACTTCATATATACACTTAAAAGACATGCAAACTTGGTAATAGACAATTTGTAACTGAATTCACTAGACTTGCAAATGATTAGTCAGTCATCAGTAGCACCAATATAAAAGAGTAATTAATGTATAATATGTTCTGGAAAGCTAAAGTCGGTTAAAAAGAAATCTTTCTACAAAACTCTTTATATAGAAGCAATTTAGTCTTTGACAAATGAAATGTTATGCTCTTCCTGTCTGTATGCTGGGTCAAAACAAACATAGTTTGGCTTTAAAAGTTCGATGGCACTTTGCAATGTTTTGGTTTTGAGTTTTTAAAACACAACCCTGTAATCATTGCTTACTTAAACAAGTATGTGCTTGTCATTTTAAAGTATTGTTCAATACACTGACATTGTTTTGCCTACACACAAAAGATTCAAAACAGAGCATTCTTTTTATTTTACATCCCATTACTTCAGTATGCAAATTAAAGTGTTTTTTAAACCTGTGTGAAAAAAGGTAGTGAATCGCAAGCAATAATTAGAAAACGGTGCAATGCACTGATTGGTGTTTAAATTCACAGTTTAAACATCTCCCACGTGAGCTTAATTTTAATCTTGAGAGTCTTAAGACAACTGAGCCGCTAAAGTTTTCAAATCCCTAGGATCGTGCTGCTTTCGGTTCTGGCCCGCCACCTCGCAAGTCCCACCCTTCCCGGGGGAACGGTGCCTAATTCCTCTCTGAGACAGGCACTGCTGGTCAACGTCCTTCTAAGAAAGAAACATCTCACAAAGCCCCCGACTCGGAGCGCACTTCCCGCTCCGCTGGGCTACAGCGGACCGAGTGTGACGCTGCACATTTTAAATCGGGGTTGGTTCTGCTTCGGAATCTGGAAGATTCAGAAGGTTAAAAAAAGAAAAAGCTTTCGGGGAGGCTTGCTCCCAAAACAGCACATTCTGCGCCCAACTTGGTGTCCCCGAAAGAGTGAGGAGAGAAGGGGAGAAGAAGGGAGGCAAGCGCTCCTGTGCGGTATCCCGCTGCCCACCGTCTCCGGCCGCCCGGGGGAGCGCAGCTTTGCCCCAGGGCTGGGGCCGGGGTTGGCGGCTGCAGCCCGCGGAACCGCTACTCACTGACGAGCGGGATGCGTCCCCCGGGGCCTCACCTCAGGTAGTTGAGATAGGGCGGGTAGACCTGTGGCAGGCCCTCCTTGATCACAGCGGCCTGGTAGCCGAGCTGCGGGAGCCCGTTGAGGCCGAGGGCAGGGTACAGCGCAGGGGCCGCCCCGGCGGCGGTGGCGGCGGCGGAGGCAGAGGTGGAGGGCAGGCCGTCCCGCGGGAGCAGGCAGCCCCCGGCGCTCGGTGCCTTGCAAGGCGGCGGCGCGAACGGGCCCTGCTGGGGCTGCGCGCCCTCCGCTTTGTAGAGGATGCACTCCAGGGTCGACCCCGACGAGGACGCGGACGAGACGGACGCACTGGCGGGTGCAGCCGTCACTGCCGCTTCCCCGGGTCTGGATGGGGGCGCTCGTGGCGGCAGTGGGGGCGGTGGCCCCAGCGGGAAATCCGGAAAGGCGGCGGGGCTGGCACCGGCCACCAGGTAGGAACGCGGGGAGCGCGTGGAGGCCTCCGCGCCTTCCTCCTCCTCCTTGATCTTCAGGGCGGGCGGCTGGAAGTCGCCATAGAGAGGGTACGCGTCGTCCTTAGGCTCGGCGTCGGGAGCGTACGCGCAGTCGGGGAAGTCGCCGCCAGGGACCGGGGTGGACGAGGCGGAGGGTGAGCTCCGCGGCGGGGCAAAGGCGCTGGCGGCCCCGGCCCCGCCGTCGTAGCTCTCGTCCTCCAGCAGCTGCCGGGTGCGAGCGGCCAATAAGGCGTGACTGAGAGGCAGGATGGGCACGTGGATGAAATCCGTGACCGTGGTGGCCAGCGGGGAGCGCCCGGGCGCCATGGGCGCGTCCTGCTCCACCAGGGCGACCCTGGGCGCTGAGAAGCGGGAATCTTCCTTGGGGACCAGGGCGATACCTCCTGCAGCCGCCCCCGGCGGGACAGCCGGGGCTCCTCCGCCAGCCGCCGCACCACCAAGAGCCCGAGGTTTGCCTTTCAGAAGCGGACCCGCAGAGTCCTCGGACTCGGAGCCATCCTCCTCCTCTACCTCCACCGCAGCGGGCTGCGGAGACGGCTTCACTGCGGCCCCGGACCAATGAGGGCTCCCAGAGGTCGGGAGCAGCAGCTGCCGGGAGGGTGACAGGCCCCGGGGCAGCACCTTATGGGCAGCTGCCATCCCGGAGCTGTCTCCAGTCTTGCCCCCGGACCGGCTCATGAGCGGGGACAATACCCTCTGGGTGGCGGGGGCTGCCAGTGGATCTTCGGGAAGTTCGGGGCCAAACAGGCACCAAGAGCTGGTGACCTCGCAGGCAGGAGGGCTGGGTTGGCTCTGCCCCGGACCTGAGGGCGCCCACAGAGTGTCCAAGACACTGTCCAGCAGTCCGCTTTCCTTTTCTGGGGGTCTAGAACTGCTGCCTCCAGCACCCCTTGTAGCTTCACCTCTGGAATATGCACCCTCCACGTCCGACAGGGACTGCTGGTCCTGTGTCTTTTCGTCGGGGGCGTCCTGTACCTGGCAGATCCGAGGGAAGAGTAGCCCGTCCAGGGAGATAGGTAGGGCAGAAACTTCAGGCAACGTGTCCGAGGTCTGGCTCCCTGGGAACGGGCCTGCAGCTTGGCGACACGGCAGTGGGGATCCGACTTTGGGGGAGGACGGGCTGCCCGCCACGTGGGGAGCCCGGGGACCCTTTGCCTTCAGCTCAGTCATGACGACCTGGATTCCCCTTTTCTCCTCCCCCGTCTCCAGGGAGGAGGGAAAAGCGAAGAAGGAGGGGGTTTTGGGGAATATAGGGGGAGAGGGAGGGGAATGTGGGTGTTGAATGTGGCTGGACCAAAGGGATCTCCACCTCCTGGGTCGGGGGTGGGAGAGGGCGGCGCTGGTCAGCTCCTGCCCTTGGCTTCCATCGTGTCGTCAGGAGAATAGTAGCTGTCGTTTGTCCCAGAGAGCAAAAAGTGGGGAGAGCAAGAAAAAGTAGTTATTGTAGGGATCTCGACTCTTAACTGGGAGAGTTCTCCATGAGAGTTCTCCGGCTTCTGTCCGAGGACTGGAGACGCAGAGTACTCACAAGTCCGGCACTTGAGTGGCTGCGGCAGCGATGGCAATCGAGGGACACGCAGCTCCTTATCTCCCGACTTTTTCTCTGGCATCAAACTCGCGCATGCTGTGAAGTTCTCAATCCCTCGCTGAGTTCCACTGCACTTCTCATTAAAACCCTGGGGCCAGTCGGACCTCTCTCAGGGAAGGTCGTGCTTCTCACGGCTCCCTACAGCCGGTGCCAGTCATTTCTGAAGATCTCAGTTCCCAGCAGTGAGGGAGCTCTAGCCTCCTCCGGTTGCAGATTTTACTCAAATGACAAGTGAAGCTAGTTCTCATTGAGAGTGCTACCCAGACGCCAGAGTCCTTGCACATATACAAGGCTTACCCCGATTAGTGACAGCTTTGGACTGGCCCGACAGCTTTCTAACAACGCCTCCTCCTCTAGAGAGGCCCCGCCCAAAGCCCCTCCCTACCCCAATTACGGGTAGGATCTGAAACTCTGGAGTTGGCTTTTCCACCCGTTATTATGAATGCTACTCTGAATAGCAGGTTCTTTGGGATGGAATCTCATAAGCATATTATATTTTGTTCTGCAAATTAAGAATTATGCCCTATCTTATTGGAAAAACGAATAGATTCTACCAGAAGTAGAATTTTTATCACCATTTTAGGATTTCAGTTTTGTAAAGATTTAATACAGAGGAAGACATTTGGCTACATTATGTTTTAAAACAATAAATGTATCAAAGAGATTCTAAATACTTTAAGAGATTCTGTCCCTTATGAATTCCATAAAAGTGAGTGCTTTCAAGTTTCTTCTGCTGCAACCAACATGTCCTGCTCCTCTTGAGTAATCCTCAATGTGACAAACAAATTTGGGAGTGCGAGATAGTAACAACTCTGCATCTATGATGGAAGTTTGGATGTTGTGTGCCATACTTTTATTTGTCCTAAGGAATGTCTTCCAATTTTTAGTAAATACTGTTTCAAGGAAAGCTTCCTTTAGCTCCAGCTTATACCCTGTGCTACATTGTAAGATCCTCAGCAGAGATGTTGAAAATACTTTTTCCCCTAAATATTCTTAGTCTGAAAAATAATTATATTTGAGCTTATAAAATGAATCACCTCTAAATTCATGGAGTCCATAGAGAAAGGAAAGAATATTGCAATATATATTTTAGATACAGAGTCATAAACTATATTTGATGCAAGACTCTTGGATATTTTGACATCATCTTAAATATACCCTGTTCAAAACAGAGTGAGTGATTTGCAAATTTTCTTATAGGGCCTCAAGGTCTAGCTATGCTAATGACTCACAGTTTATCTCAACCATGTCTAGAGGATACACAAGAAGACTCCAGGAAGGGTGGAGCCATTAGAGGTAAGGAGCTTGGACCTCTCAGTCATCTGGGGAGAAGCTACATGAGTGAGAAATACACCTTTATCTTGTTAGGTCATTAGGATTTGGAGTTGATTGTTCTACCAATTAGTTTACTCTGGTTAATCTTAGATATGTGGGAGTTAGGCAGGTAGAGGAAAGGTAAAGAGAATTCCAGGAAGCAGGTGTAGCATGTTCACAGGCAATCAAATAGCAGGATATACTATGGCAGCTGCAAGGGGACCATTATGAATAGAGGAAAAGTAATTGTGGGTACAGAAGTCTATGAAAGTAGAGAGGTAAACTAATTGGTTATATTAATATCATTATTACTGTTTTCGGGCTTTCTCTTTCCAGTCTCTTAGAACAGTTACCATGCTTTATTGAGGTATAATTCCAATATTATACAGCTCACTCAAAGTATCAATTCATTGATTTTTCATGTAATCAGAGTTGTGCAGCCATCACACTATTAATTTTATAACATTTGCATAACTCTCATACCCACTAGCAGTTACTCGACATTTCCCCCTAATTCTCCCAGCAGCCACTAATAGGATTTTTGTATCTGTGATTTGCCTATTTTGGATCAAGTTTCATCTATGTTCCACATGAATCAGTACTTCACTCCTTCACTCCTTTTTATTGCCAAATATTTCATTGTATGGATAAACCACATTTTATTTCTCCATCTCTATCAGTTGTTGGACATTTGGGTTGTTTACACCTTTTGGCTACCATGAAAAATCCTGCTAATGAACCTTCATGTACACGATTTTGTCCAGCATATATTTTTCTTACTCCTGAGTATATACGTAGGAGTGGAACTGCTGGGTCATATGGTAGCTCTAGGTTTAGTCTTTGGAGGAACTGCCAGACTCTGGTTCAAATGATTGTACATTTTACGTTTCCACCAATAGTATATAAGGGTCCCAATTTCTTCACATCGTTGACAACACTTTTTATCTGTCTTTTTTGTTATAGCCTTCCAAGTGTGCAAAGTGGTATTTCACTGTGATTTATTTGTATTTTCCTGATGGCTAATTTCACACAGTTATAGATTTTACTTTGGGGAGCAATTTTAGATTTACAGAAAAATTGAGCAGATAATATAGAGAATGCTCATATATCATTTGTATATATTTCTCCGTAAGCATTTTAAATTAATAGGGTACATTTGTTACAACTAATGAGCTAATACTGATATGTTATTAACTAATATTCATAGTTCATTTAGATTTTCTTTATTTTCACTTAATGTCCTTTTTCCTTTCTAGGATTCCATCCAGGGCACCACATTTAATGGTTATGATGTCTTGGGCTCCTCTTGGCTGTGGGAGTTTCTCAGATTTTCCTTGTATCTGATGACCTTCACAGTCCTTAAGAGTACAGGTGAGGTATATTGCAGGATGCCCCTCTATTGGAATTTGATGTATCCTCAAGAGTAGACTCTTACAGGTTTTGGCAGGGGTTGGGGGGAATCAAAGAGGTAATGTGCCATATTTATTACATCCTACGAAGGTTACGTATTGTCAACATGACTTAGACTGTTAATGATGTTCTCCATCACCTGGCTGAAGTAGGGTTTGTCAGCTTTCTCCATTGCATAGTGACTCTTTTTTCCCTCTTTCCATACCCTGTACTCTTTGGAAGGAAGTCATTATGCGTCATTATGAGGACGTGTGGGGGAGTAGGGGGTTATGCTAGCCCTCCTTTGGAATGGAGTATCTACATAATTGATTTGGAATTCCGTGAGGAAAATTTGCCTCTTCTCCCCCATTTACTCCATTGTTTAGTCTTTTATTTACGTCTGTGTGGATTCCTGAATACTTTGTTGCTCAAATTGTTGCAGTTTTTGGCATTGGGAGCCTTTTCAGTTTACTCCTGTGCCCCTTGACCCACTCTTCTTATTGAGTGTATGTGTGTGTGCGTGCACTTCCTTACTTTCTGGTATTACAATATGCAACAGACTTTTCTTGTATATATCCTGCCCTAGTTGTAGAATCAGCCATTTATCCAAAGAAGTTTGATTCTTCTTATTGGAAACTGATATAGAAATGAAATCTGGGTGCCAAACATGCTCTTAAGTTAGTTTTAATTTCTTAGAGTTGTATATAATACAGTGTGTGCTTTTTTCATTTGGTTTCTCTCAGTATAATTATTTTGGGATTCAGCTAAATTATAGTATATGTCAATAGTTAATTCTTTTTATTTATAAACTATAGCCATGTACCTGTGGATAAATATCTGAGTTGTTTACAATTTTGTGATATTATAAATAGAGCTACTTTGAAAATGGTGTATAAGTCTTTGTATGAACGTTTGTTTTCTTTCTTTTTTCTAGGTAAATACCTAGCAGTGAAATGGCTGGATAAATTAGTGAGTGCTATAGTCTGAATATTTGCATTCTCCTCAAATATGTCTGTGAATACCTAATCACCAGTGTGACAGTCTTAGTACGTGGGGCTGTTGGGGAGTGATTATGTCATGGAGCGCTGCATTGCCCCTTCTACCATGTGAGTACACAGTAAGAAGTTGCCATTTAGGAACTGCAAAGTAGGTCATCACCAGATGTCGAACGTATCACCTTTATTGTGGACTCCCCAGCCTCTTGAACTGTGAGAAATAAATTTCTGCTGTTTATAAGCTACCTAGTTTATGGTATTTTATTATAGCAGCCCAAATGGACCAAGACAATATATGTACATTTAACTGTCAAAAAAATTTCCAAAGCAATTGTATCATTTTACATTTCTACCCAGTATATTAGAATTCTAATTCTTCTTACTGTATACTCACATGAACAACAATTGGTATGGTCAGTATTTTTAACTTTAGCAATTCTAACAGGTAGGTAGCTATCTCTCACGATTTTAATTTGCATTTCATTAATGACTAGTGGTGTTGATCACATTTTCATATGCTTATTTGTGATATTTATATATTCCTCTTCTGTGTATCTGTGTGTCTGTTCGAATCCGTTTGCTTTATTTTTTTAAAAAAAACATTGTTTTGTTATTGTTGAATTTTCAGAGTTGTTTATGAATTCTGATAGAAATCCATTGTCATATATGGGATTTGAAAATAGTATCTTCTAACCTGTGGCTTGTCTTTAAGTTCTCTTAACAGGAATTTATGAAGAGCAGATGTTTTTAATATTGACAAAGCCTCTTTATTAATTTACGTTTTTGTGAATTACGGTTTTGTTGTCATAACTCAATATTCCTTGCCAAACCTAAGGTCGTAAATGTTTCCTGTCATATTTTCTTTGGCTTTATAGTTTTAAGTTTTACATTTATATCTGTGATACATTTTAAAGTTACTTTTTAATATGGTATAAGGTCTAGATTAAAATTCACTTTTTTTGCATGTGGATATCCAGTTGTTTCAGCACCATTTGCTGAAAAGAATACCTGTTTACTAATTGCCTTTGTACCTTTGTTGAGAATCTGTCATTCAGATATGTAGAGATCTGTTTCTGCACCCTCCATTTCGTTTAATTGTGTTACTGGACAGTTTTTTTGTTAATACCACATTATCTTGATTAATATAGGTGTAATTTTTCAAGCTGTTCTTTTTTAAATCCCTCTGTATAAATGATAGTGTTTTTCCTCTAACCTTCCAGTCCTGGGGGTGAGGAGGGGCAGCCCACAGCTGGTTGAGGGAAAAGACAGGATCCAGGGTGTGTTCTCAAGCTATAGGTTGCACAAGAGTCAACCCATAAAGGTTTCTAAGCAGAATGGTAACAAAGAGAAGCCCCCCACTTCTGTTTCTGAACTCCAGCTCTCAGCGTGTTGGTGGCCTTGAATCCCCTACCCAGAAATGGAAATACCAAAGCCACCTACCTCCCTTCCCAGTAGGACATACAGTTAAGGGTCAGACCATTTTCCCTCCTGGGGGGAGCCCTTCTTTCCCCCACAGATACTTAGTGTACTAGTGCTCCAATTTTATTCTTTTTCAGAATTGTTTTGGTTGTTCTAGGTCATTTGCATTTCCATATAAATGTTAGAAGCCATTTGTTAATATCTGCAAAAAAAAAAAAAAAAGCCTTCTGTAATTTTGATTGGGATTGAGTTGAAATTATAGATCAATTCGGAGAGAATTTACTTCTCACCAAAATTAAGTCTTCCAACCCATGCAGGCAATATATCTCTCCTCCTCTCAGGAGTGTTATGAAGCTTTCAGTCTATAGGTCTTTCACATCTTTTGTCAGATTAATCTTCAATTATTTCTTTTTTTTTTTTTTTTTGAGACGGAGTTTCGCTCTTGTTACCCAGGCTGGAGTGCAATGGCGCAATCTCGGCTCACCGCAACCTCCGCCTCCTGGGTTCAGGCAATTCTCCTGCCTCGGCTTCCCTAGTAGCTGGGATTACAGGCACGCACCACCATGCCCAGCTAATTTTTGTATTCTTAGTAGAGATGGGGTTTCACCATGTTGACCAGGATGGTCTCGATCTCTTGACCTCATGATCCACCCGCCTCGGCCTCCCAAAGTGCTGGGATTACAGGCGTGAGCCACCGCGCCCGGCCAATTATTTCATATTTTTATGGGTATTTTGAATGGTGTATATATTAGCTTTCCATTGCTGAGTCAGCAAGTACCACAAACTTACTAGCTTGAAAATTATTATCTTACAGTTTCCATGGGTCAGGAGTCTGGGCATCAGTTGGATGAACCCATTGCTTAGGGTTCGCCTAACACGTGTGCCATCCTCCTGTTCCAGGTATTTTTCTGACCCCTC